CTCCATTTGATTGATGAATTGAAGCCCAGAGAGGGGACATGACTTTCTCAATCATGCAGCCAGTCAGTGTTGGAGCTGGGACTCAAACCCAGGCTCTCAGCAAGCTTTCTTTTTTGTAAAGGGCCAACTGGTAAATATTTCAAGCTTTGCAAGTCATATGGTCTCCATTGTAACTACTCTCTATGTCCTGGTAATGCAAAGGCAGCCAAGGACAATAAGTAAATGAATGAACATAACTGTATTCCAATAAAACTTTATTTATACAATAGGCAGAGGGCAAAATTTCATCCATGGACTATAGTATGCATTCCCCTGCCCCTGCAATACTAGGGATTGAACCCAATGGTGTTCTGTTACTAAGCTACATACCTAGTCCTTTTCTTCTTTCTCTTTTTTTTCTTTTAATTTTGAGACAGGGTATCCTAAGTTGCTGACCTGCAGTCTTCCTGCCTCAGCCTCCCAAGTCACTGAGATTACAGGCAAGTACCACCCTGCCCAGGGCCAACCTCCATTCTTAACAAGTTACATGGCATTAATTATCTCCATTTGTACTTCGAATCTTCCTCCCCTTATCTCTTTCTGGAGGATGGAGTTATTTACTTTGATTGCCTTATAATTCCTTTATTGCTTCCACTTAAAGAGGTGAGAATTAAGATAAAATTATGTCAGCAACCATGCTGGGGCCAAACTCCTGAAATCCAATTAAGAAACTGAATAAATACTTTGGAAGTTTGAGCCTGAGTGATCTTCTCATTGTTCTTCTCCTATTCATGTCCCCAAAACAGAGAACACAACATCCCATTGTGAGTTTGCATTGGTCAAGTCACTTCAGGTTTAAACCATTTTCTTCCACCAAGCTATGCTGTGGTCACAACCAACTCCATTATTCCAGAACTGCAGGAGGGGCAGCAATTCTCAGGCATGAGACAGAAGGAAAAGGACAGTACTGGGATCACTCTTGGCTCCTATGGTTTCTGCTCAGGCATGACATGTACATCCACTGAAAAGTCCATTGACCAAAGCAAATCATGTGGCCAAGTATCAGTGTTACAGGAAGTATCTTATCACACAGGGAGGACACCAGAAAGGAGACCTAGTTGGCAGATAGGTCTATTGACTAAAGGAGGACTCTGACATCCAGTAGATAGAGGTCAGAGATGCAACTGAGCATCTGACAATTTGGGGACAACAAAGAATCCCATTAGCTGAAAATACCAAGAAAATATTTTGAAATTCCATACAACTACTACAGTGGTTCTCAATTCCCTCTCCTCCTCAGGGACCACTTGGCAGTGCTCAGAGGCATGTCACAACACAGAACACACTCTATCTAGGAGATAGAGCTCAAGAATGTTGTTAAAACTTCTACAGTATGCAGGAGACAGTCCCCCGTAACAAAAGAATTATCACACCCAAAATACTAAGAGTGCTGAGATTTAAAAATCATGACTACTACAAGAGGCAACTGGACACCTCTATTCATTCATTCATTCACTCACTCATCATTAATCAATGATTTATTGAGTACCAGGCACTGTGCTAGGCCCCTGAAGATAAAAGA